TCTCTGCGCTCTGTTGGGCTGGATTGAAGCTCTTGGAGCTGTATCCCACTGAGTACTCAGTATGTGTTGGGCCCTTTGCATGCGACGTCTCAGTTAATCCTCAGCAGCCTTACGTGGGGGTATGAATGTTATCCCCATTTTACAGATGAGGAACCTGAGGCGGGAGGGGTTCAGCAGTCTGACCATGAACTCAGTTAATGAGTGGCAGATGTGTGAAACCTGGGTTTTCAGTGGCCTTGGACTCTGTTATTGCGTCAGTGTCAGTAGGTTAATGATGTCTGTGCAGGGATGGTGTTTTTGGTTTCAGTATCCCACTCCACAGACGGACAACACTGGCCTTTGCCTGAGGCCCCAGTGTCGGGGAGGCCTTGGTATGAGTCTCCCTTGTCTAGGACCCCTCTCTGGCCACCTTCATCCCCCGAGTGCATGGGGGTTCAGGGACTCCAGGAGGGAGGGGCTTGTTTCCAAGCCCAAAAAGTCACCAAGAGGCTGCTGCGTGACCATGCTGCCTGCACTGATAGGTGAGGGATGAATGTGGTGTTTACAGAGCTAGGAGAGCAGGTTTGCAAAAGTCAGAATTGCCGTAACTAGGCTTTCAAGGCCTGCTGTCTGTCTCCTTTGCATCTGTGTCTGCGAGTCAGCCATCCTCCAAGTCAGGTTCAAGTCCCATCCCTCCCTGGGGGAAAAACACACGCCATTCTGTCCGTCGTCCATACGATGCAGGCTCTGAAATTCTAGCCTTGCTGTCCGGGCCTTGCTGGGTTCTCTGCCCATAGAAGATGCCCAGCTGACCTGCTGAATGAAGAGAGGAAGCAGAGGTGGCCCTGTGCACACTGGACTGGGTCCTGGCACCCTCGGCCCTCCCGGGGGCAGGGATCAGGCAAAGCAGCGCAGCCACTTGCAGATCATCTTTTCAGGTCACTTTTGGGGGAGGGGACCTCCCTGAGGAGGACTGGAAGCATCCACTTCCGGGTATCCAGGAGTTTGCTGCGTGCAGGTTAAATCCTGGTGTAAGTGCTGGTCTCCCCACAGGTGTAGTTTGGATGTTTTAAAAAACAGTGGCAGGCTGGGGCCGGCCTGGTGGCACAGCGGTTAAATGCACGCACTCTGCTGCGGCCGCCCGTGGTCCGCCAGTTCGGATCCCGGCGCGCACCGACGCACTGCTTGTCAAGCCATGCTGTGGCGGTGTCCCATATAAAGTGGAGGAAGACGGGCATGGATGTTAGCCCAGGGCCAGTCTTCCTCAGCAAAAAAAAGGAGGGTTGGCAGATGTTAGCACAGGGCTGATCTCCTCACAAAAAAAAATAAATAAATAATAAAAACAGTAGCAGGCTATTTCCATTAACTATTAAAAGGAGCAACAGGTCTCTGGGTGAATTTCTGTTTTGATGAGCCATGGGTTTGAAGTCAGGTGTGTTGCTTGATCTGCCGGAGGTGAGGGGAGCCAGCTGCTGCACGGGCCCAGGAGGCCTGGTAAAACACAAAGCCCTCCGTGGTGCACACAGAACACCTAAAGTGGGCATGTTCATTCATTTTGTAGGAAACTAGCCCCAAGATGTGACCTCTCTCCCCAGGCCAGTAGGGTTCATTCATTTATTCATTTCAAAATTATTTACTGAGTACTTATTATGTACCAAGTTCTGAGGATTATAGAGGAGTTTCTTAACTTTTGGCAGTTTTTCTAGAATGTGTGGAATGTAACATAGATCCACGTTCTGCTTGAGTAGGCTGGAGTAACATCTCCCCAAAACACTGACCCAGCACAATTTCTTCCCCCTGAGTGTTACAGGAGATGGTGTGTGCTCTGAATGTGGACTGGGAGAAAAAAATAAGAGCAACTTGATTTGTTCAGGCAGTTGGATGGGGGAGAGGGGAATTTTTTTTCCACTTTGACTTCCTTTATCTTCTGTGTACTTAAAAAAACTTCATGAACAGAGTGGCTCTCTCGGCCTCCCTCCGTGAGCCACCATTAAGGAACTGGGGACATTTAACCTTGAAGAGAAGACATGGCTGCTTTCAGAAACCCGGGGTGCCGTCCTTACTCTTAATTTGGCGTTGCTGTAGACCTCTGACTCTCAAAGAGGTCCTGGTATAAGCAGCCTCAGCATCACCTGGGAACTTGTTAGAAATGCAGAGTCTCAGCCCCGCCCCAGAACCAGAACTGCCAGGGGTGGGGCCAGAAATCTGCGTGTTTTTTTGTTTTTTTTTTTATAATTTTATTTATTTATTTACTTTTTCCCCCAAAGCCACAGTAGATAGTTGTATGTCATAGCTGCACATCCTTCTAGTTGCTGTATGTGGGACGCCGCCTCAGCGTGGCCGGAGAAGCAGCGCGACAGTGCGCACCCGGATCTGAACCCGGGCCGCCAGCAGCGGAGCGCGCGCACTTAACTGCTAAGCCACGGGGCCGGCCCCAGAAATCTGTGTTTTGACAAGCCCCCTTCACTGCTGCTTCTGCTTTTGATCAGCAGGTCTGGGGTGGGGCCTGAGACTCTGCATTTATGACAAGCTCCCAGTGATGCGATTTGACCGTTGGTCCATGGACCACTCCTTAGTGCCAGGTTGTACAGGGCAGCATGATGGGATGGGAGGGTGTGGGCTGGAGCGGTGCTTCCTCAATCTCTGGTTTTTGAAAGATGGGATTTGGGTACAGCTGTTAAGAAGGAATGAAACCGAGCTGTAAGAACCAGTCTGGAAAAATCCCCAGGAATATTGTTAAGCTCAGAGAGTAGATCTTGAAAATGTCTTTGGATAAGTTTGCTTCCATTAAAGCCAGGATAGTAAAATGATAGTAAATTCTATTTTTGTATAAATAAAATATTTAAACATTTTCAAATGTGAGTTTTAATAAACCTACTTTTCAATTTTTCAATATTTTTCAACAACTAGAACATTCTGGGGAAAGAAATAACCATTAAAAAAATACATGAAAATATCTACACAAGGGCACACATTTTTCCTTTCACCTCAACCTCCCATATGGCTCAACATGGCACTGTCAGTCCTGTTCTTATTTAAAATTTTGATAACTTGTTCATCGTGAATTTTTTTTTGGTATATATTTCCATTTTAAAAATATTGTTTTTCTTGATTGATGAGTTTTTGGCATACCCTTAAATTTTGTGCCTGAGGCTTTGGGGATTCCTCCAGGCTGTGGCCCTCCCAGCCTCTGGGCTCTGAGATGGTCTGACTATGATGGCAGCCCCCTCTCTGCTCCATGTACCCCCAACATGGCATTCACCCTCTCTTGGGCTTGCTTCCGTGCTTGCTTTATAGCCAGGATCCCCTCCTTTAGAGCTTAAGTTAGACCTTACTTACATCTCTTTATTGACATTCCGACCTCACACAGTCAAGGTGAGTTCTGATGGTGGAAATAGGAATGACTGTGCTTTGATAAGGCTGAGCTCCCTGGTATATATGGCATATATGACCTCTCCATCCAGAAGGCCAGCCCCACTACTATTAGCCCAGTTCTAAAGCCAGCTCGAGATCTAGTTTGGATGTGCTTTCGTAATGGTAACAGATGCCATCAATGTCTTGCCCACGCCCCCGGCCCCTGCCATTTCTGGGCACACCCGTCCACGTTGCACCTGCAGCCCTGCTTGAGGGTGTTCTTGCTGGAGCCCACTCTACCTACGAGAGGCGGGCCAGAAGTGCCGGGGAGGAAGAATCAGTGCCACCCAGGGGCGGCCTCACAGTGCTGCGGGAGCGAGTGGATAAAGACCCCAGCTCCCAAGCAGCAGGGTGACTCGGAGGTGAGTGTTCTACACTGCCCTCCACTGTGCCCAGTGGAATTGGACTCTGGTTGCCCACCACAGTGACTGACTGCTGACACCACCTCGTAGGGGCACCTTCCCATCCCTGTCTCACTTCTTCACTCCCCTACAGGGGCTTCCTGGGGTTGCCTCCCAAATAACTCCTTGTACTGGAATCTTTGTCGCAGGGCCTGTTTCCAGGAAAACCCAAACTAAAATAAAAACAAGGTTTACTTTGCCCACTATAAAATCAAAACATTAAGACATACAAGTGGGAAGAATAAAACTCCTCCTCCCAAAACCAGGTGGTGTTTTTGGCTGTTTTGCATCCATTTTTGTTATGTTTGTTCACATGGAGACTGTGAACCTTTGTGGACAATTTTGTCTCCTCCCTTAATCATTTTCCTCAATTTGAACCCTTGGTCATGATGATTTTTTTTTCCCTATTTCCCCCACCCTCAGCCCCTGGCAACCATTTCTCTACTCTGTGTCTGTGACCTTGACTTTTCCACATATAAGTGATCCCATGCAGTGTTTGTCTTTCTGTGTCTGATTTATTTCACTTAGCATAATGCCCTCGGGGTCCATCCATATTATTGCAAATGGCAGGATTTCCTTCTTTCTCATGGCTGAATAATATTCCATTGTCTATGTATACATATCACATCTTTTTTGTCCCTTCATTCGTTGATGGACACACGTTGTTTCCGTGTCTTGGCTATTGTGAATAATACTGCAATAAACATGGGGGTGCAGATATCTCTTTGGTATCCTGTTTTCATTTCCTTTGGATATACACCCAGAAGTGGGATTGCTGGATCATGTGGCAGTCCCATTTTTAATTTTTTGAGAAATCTCCATACTGGTTTCCATAGTGGCTGCACCAATTTACGTTTCCACCAACAGTGCACAAGGGTTCCTTTTTCTCCACATCCTCGCTGACGTTTGTTATGTCTTGTCTTTTTGATGACAGCCATTCTAACAGGTGTGAGGTGATAGCTCATTGCAGCTGTGACTTGCATTTTCCTGATGATTAGTGGTGTTGAGCACCTTTTCATGTACCTGTTGGCCATCAGCTCATCTTTGGAAAAATGTCTATTCAGTTCCTCTGCCCGTTTTTGGATCAGGTTGTTTGTTTTTTTGCTATGGTTGTGCATGATGATTTTTAATGGCTTCACAGTTGGGCGGCTCTGGTGTGGCCTCTGATGTGTCTGCCTCTGATGTGTCTGCCTCTCGCCCTTGCAGGCATTCGCCCCTACAAATGTGACGTCTGCAACAAGGCCTTCACCCAACGCTGCTCCTTGGAGTCCCACCTGAAGAAAATCCATGGAGTGCAGCAGCAGTACGCCTATAAGCAACGCCGGGACAAGCTGTACGTCTGCGAGGACTGCGGCTACACGGGCCCCACCCAGGAGGACCTGTACCTGCACGTGAACAGCGCCCACCCGGGCAGCGCGTTTCTCAAAAAGACATCCAAAAAATTGGCGGCCCTTTTGCAAAACAAGCTAACATCCACACTGCAGGGGAATGCCAACCTGAGCGAGGAGGAGGAGAAGTGAGGAGGGGGCGGGGAGAGACGCTAACGTTGCCACGTTTACACGGATTTTTGGTTTTGAGGGTCCCCCACCCCCCTGGCTCTTTCTAATTACAAGTGTTCAGTTCGTCTCTCTGATCTTTTGGAGCCTCAGTAGGGGAATCTGTTCCAACGTTGTCAATTATAACAGTGGCGTCAGGCCCCCCATAGCCGTGTCCTATTGAACACAGTCACAGGAAGGAAAGTTTGTGGATGGCCATGATTACCATGTGGGGTTTTTTTTTTTTTAGGATTTTCACACATGGAGACAGAGGTGTTCTTAGAGAGACTATCATTTTATGGTGCCTTGAAATAAAAGTACTTCCACTTGAAACGCTACTCAAGCAAGGAAAATGAATTTTGTTATTCCGAAAGAGTTTACAGGAATTATTTTAATAAATGAAATGTCCTCATGAAACTTTGCTTATGAAAACAAAACAGGAGAGCACTGAGCTATCTATCTCTCTGGTTAGAGCTTATTGTGTGACATTTGACTTCGGGTTATTTGGGGGTTGATTATGTGTATCGATGGGTGGGTTTGAAGAAGCAGGGTTTGAGCGTTGGTAGGAGAACAGAAGGCTGATGAAAAGATGGCACTGAACGACCCACTCCGCAGCTGCTGGGCGGGGACGCCGCGGTTGACGCAGCAGGTGACTCACAAATGCGGTGGTTGCTTTTTGTGGCCATGGGGTTACTGCTGAGATGCCTCCGGCTTTCTGGGCCTGGGCTGGCAGAAGGCACTGCTCCCCTTCCTTGAGGCTGGCACTGGGGACGACACGCTGGAGCGTGAGGAATGCTCATTGGTGCACACAGTGCCCTGGCGGGAGGGACAGCAGTGTCAGCAGTCTCCTTCAGGGCACAAGACTGCTGAGCGCACTGACCTTTGGCCACCTGCATCTCCTCACCCAGGAGGTTAACAATAAAGCCAACTTGAGACCAAGATAGGGCAAAAGAGAGGCAGCAGGCCGTGGGAGAGGGGGTGGTGAGGTGGTTTCCAGGGTCCTTCCAGGATGGACTCGGGGAACCATGGTGCCGGGAGGGAGGGTTCCCCCGGTCCCGTGAGCTGCTCCCTGAACTGAGTGAAGTGCTGATCGCTGTACCACGTTGTCCCTTTGCTGCCTGCCCCTTGTCCCCTGGGCATTGCCTGGGCTGCATGCCTCAGGTTCATCTCCACCCTGGAAGATCAAGAAAATCTTGCTTTGGGACCAGGCCACTCCTTGGTCTCCGGAAACCTGTGGATAATAAGGCCAGCTTCTTATTTCCTCCCTCTTCCGTCGTCCCCCCTTCCTCCCATCTTCCTTCCCTTCCGTATTCTCTCCCTACTTCTCTCCTACACTGTGGGCCAGGCATTAGGCCAAGATCTAGGCACTTAAAGTGGCGAATCCTGTAACTTGAGTTAACATTTCTCTTCCTAGTCAGCACTTTTCTTTCGGAAAGAAGGAAACAAACCCTTTTGTTGAGTGCCTATGACATGCAGGTACCACACCAGGCACCCCTCGCTGCACAGCATTTTCTGGAGCAATCCTCGGAGCACTCCTGAGGGTCAGCATCCCTGTGCCCGGGAGCAGATGGGCCGACCACAGAGGCTGTCGGCTGGCGGCCGGAGGAAGGGGCCAGGAATTCTAAATCTGGTCACCCCCCGCCTTTTCTCTCTCTCCCCTCCCTCCCTTCAAAAAGGAAAGAAAAGATCTCAGGTTCGACTTGGACTACACATGAGGCAGGCGTCAGACTGGGGCTGGCTTTGGGGGATCCTCACCCTCCGGCCTCTGAATAGCAAGGCTCACTGCTGCCGGGCCAGCCTAAAGGGCCGACATGGGTCCTGCTCTGCCTCATCTGAAGCTCTGGGCGCTTGGGCTGCAGCACCACGTGGTCTGAATGGCCACCTTTGACCATCAGCAGTGGCAGGGGTTGCTGTGGGACCCACAGCGCCACAGCGGGATGTTGTGACTGCTGCATGGTGCAGCCTCCTGGGGCAGAGCTAGCGCTGAGGGCTCGACCCTGGCTCCAGGGGGCAAATGGCTAACATCGTGTTGTGTCTCCTAGCACCTGATACAGAGGAGATGGTAAAGGCAGTTGACTGGGTTTCCTTCCCTGGGTAAGTTAGACAACAGAAACGAGCATTCCTATAAGGGAATATCTAAATGACTGCTGGGGCAGCTGGCCTGTTGTCTGTTTTGTGCTGGGAATCGTGAATTAGCTGACGTGATGTTCTCTTCAGGGTCAGATTTTTATTAAACAGAACTCTTTTCGTTGCAAGTGACAGAAACTCAGTTTAAAATGACATTAACAGAAAAGGGAATGTGTTAGCTGCTAAGTCTAGGGTTGTTCCAACTTCAGGAGTGGCCAGATCTAGGTGCTTAAACCATGTCACATCACTCATCTTTCTGTCTTTCAGCTTTGTTTTCCCCCAGGTGGCTTCTTTCTTAGGCAGGTTCAAATGGAGGCTGGAGACCCCCACCACTCTGGCTTCTATCGTACAGTGCAGCAGCCCAGCAGAAGGAGCATTTATCTTTCAGCCAAGATCGTCAGCTGAAGCTTCTTGTCTCTGATTGGCGTGATTTGGCTCTCAGGCCTGCCTCTGAGCCAATCGCTGTGCTCTGGGTGGTTCTCCATGCCCTCACTCAGGGACCCAGACTTCTTTCCTTTGTTGCTATGCCATGCCCTAGAGCATCGTCTACATGTGCATGGTTGAAGCTGGGCCTCTATGGGTTTGAGCCTATAGGCGAGTTGTCTTGATTTGGGTTCCTCCAGAAGCTGATTCTGAGGCAAGAGTTCAAGTTCAAGTCGATTGCTTAGGAGGCGATCCCAAGAAGCATCTGTACGGGAGTGGGGAAGTGTGGCAGGAAAGAGAACACAGCTAACAAAGGGAATATCAGCAAGGAAGTTACTGCTGTGGACAACTGGAGCTTAATCCCACTGAGACCCTCTGGGAGACAGTACAGACGCGCCTGAGTCACCCGCCTAGAGGGGCGTAGAAACCACTGGCTCCCCACCCATCACTGGTTGAGGGTGCTGGCATTGGCAACATTCATTTCTGGGCCCTTCCATTTTGCCCTGTGCACTGGCCGAGCATGCTTCCTGCGCCAGGAGAAGCCCTCAGGCAGGGTTACAGGGGTGGCCACAAGCAGCCTTGAGCACATAGAGCCGAATGCTGGGGCTAAGGGCATACCCAGTGTCATGCGGAGCCATGTGGCCCAATTCCCCAGCACAGCGATGGACCAACTTCAGTCCCACCAGCAGCGTGTAAGAATGCCCCTCTCCTCACCACCGCCCACGTTGTAGTGCCCAAGTTTAGGATTTGGGCCAATCTGATAGAGGAGGAATAGTTTCTCATGTAGTTTTATTTTACGTTTCTCTTATTATGTGTGAGAGGAAGAGGTGGAATGTCTTCCTGTGATTAAGGGCCCTCGGTATTTCTTCTTTCTGTGAACTGCCTGGATGCCCATGTTTCTACTGGGCTGTTGGCCTTTTTTCCTGCCCAACTTCTAGGATTTTGTTTGTTTGCTCAAATATATCAGGATGTTTAGCTCTTTGTGATGGAAGTTACTGGTTTTCCCCTCAGACTGTCATTTATCTTTCGATTTTGCTCATGCTGGTTTTTCTTGGCCAGGCAGAAGTTCTGTGATTTTTATGTAGTTTGAATTGATCCATCTTTTTCTCTTGTGGCTGCTGGAGATTGAGTCGTAGTTAGAAGGCCTTCCCACTCCAAGATTATATCGGAATTCTGTCATGCTTTTTTCTAGGACTTTAACGGTTTCATTTTATCACGTATAAATCTTTGATCCGCTTGGACTATTTCCTGGCGTATAGTGGGAGGTATGGATCCAACTTTATCATTTTCCAGATGGCTGACAAGAGATATTTTTTAACAGGGAGCTGGTCCAAAACACACCAGAGAACACTTTCTTCAGGAAAAGGTCGCGTGCCTCAGCAGAAGGTGTTGCAAATTATAGTAAGGAGCAGTTTTCTTTAATTAGCAAAGATTCATTTGTTCAAGGAATATTTACTGAGTGCCTACTGTATGCCTGGTACTTTTCTAGATACTGAGGCTAGGAAAAAATAGGCACAAGCGCCTGCCCTCCAGAAGCTCCCGTTCTTTTAGGGGGACAGGCAAGCAATAAGCAAGTAAATATATACTGTGTTGGCTACTATGGGGAGAAATCAAATTTGGTGCTCCAGTTACTATAACTGTGACAAATTGTGCCAAAACTTAGGAGTTCTGTAGGTTAGGAATTTGGACAGGGCAGAGGGGACAGCTTTTCTCTGCTCTTTGATGGCTGGAGCCTCAGCTGGAACACTTGAAGGCTGGAGTCTGCGAACCATCTCAAGGCTTGTTCACTCATGCATCTGGTGTAACGCATATGGTCTCTCTGTGCAGGCTGGTTTGGGCCTCCTCTGACATGGTGGGCTCCAAGGGAGAATGTCCTAAGAGAGAGAGAGATAGAGGCTGTATCACCTCTGAAGAGCCCATCTCAAGAATCCTGCGGCATCACTTCTGCCACATTTTATGTTAGAAGCAAGTTCCTAAGGCTGGTCCATATTGAAGGGAAGGGGAATAAGACTCCTTTTTGGTAGGAAGAGTGGTTCTAGAAAAACTTGTGGGACCATACCATACATGTTGCTATGGCCATTTGTAGGAAATAGAACCTGCTACATAAGGCAAGGAGAGCTGGGGTGAGGATGGATGGGTGATGTTGGTAGTTTATTTAGGGGGGTCAGGGACGTGTGGCCTGACAGAAGTGAGGGAGTAAGCACTGCGGTTATCTGGGGATGTGTTCCAGGCAGCGGGAACAGCAAAGACCAAGGCCAGGAAGCAGGAGTGCGCTTGACTTGTTTGGAGAGCAGGAGGAGCAACGTAGCTTCAGCCGAGTGAGCAGAGATGGGGAGAGTGTAGACGAGGTCAGAGAGGCTGGGGGGCAGGTCACCATTGCAGGCTATTGTAAAGACTTCAGCTTTTCTTCTGAATGAATTGGGAAACCATTGAGCATTTTGAGCAGAGGAGTAACATGATCTCACCTATTTTTTATTTTATTTTATTGAAGTCACATTGGTTTATAACATTACATAAATTTCAGGTGTATATCATTATATTTTGGCTACTGTATATACTGCATCGTGTTCACTACCAAAAGTCTAGTTTCCATCCATCACCATAAATATGTGCCCCTTTACCCCTTTCACCCTCCCCCCACCCCCTTCCCCTCTGGTAATCACCAATCTGTTCTCCTTATCTATGTGTTTGTTTGTTTATCTTCCACATATGAGTGAAATCACACGGAACTTATCTTTCTCTGTCTGACTTATTTCACTTTGTATAATACCCTCAAGGTCCATCCATG